ATCAGTCGTCGACGATTTTGATAGTCGACTAATCGTGACTAGTCGACTAATCGTGACTAGTCGACTAATTGTGGCAGCCCTATAGGACAGCATTACTAAGTTTAACCTAATTTAACACATGAAGTAACCTGTAATCTATGTGCACATGGCTAATAACATCCAGGGCATCCAACAAAAACGGCATCCATCTTTCACATGAAATTTGATTAAATCTGAGACATTTAAAGAATAACGTAGCATAAGTAACAGTGTAGCATATGTTATCAAATTAAATCAATTTGTTAAAAAAAAAAGAAAGAAAGTTTGAGTTAGTAGGGTCAGCCCCCTTCACAAAGTATAAAGAGGACAGGCACAAAAACAAGTGGGAAACCCACACAGGCTGTGACGACATAACCCCCTGGGAGTTGCTAACCCCACATATAATGGCAGGAAAGTCTCTCACTGTCATCATTTCCCCCTCAGCCAGGGCAGGAACTGGGTCAGACAGAACAGTGACAGATAGACAGGACTCCCCACAAGAGCCAAACACAGGTATGAAAAGAGGAACTCGTGTGTAGAAGAGGGGTGGGGGAGGACAGAGGAACAATGTCACCATACTTGCACTCTCACACAGCAGGATGACACTAAAAATGAAGGATACCAATTCAGTATGTACAGTATTTAAACAGAAGGTCTTATCAATAGAAATGGCAAAATAGAAAAGTTGTCTAGTGCCACACGATTAAAAAAAAACAACAACAAAAACCCCCAAAACCTTTCACTTTAAATTGCACAAATCTCCAGCACCAACCGAAGGTGACTCGCGGTGCAGTCTTTCTGCTTATTTGAGTACACATTTACATTTTAAAAGGAAGCAACAGAATGCCAAAGGCTCATAATGACCACAGGAAGTGCAGCATTTTCTTCATCACTGGTTCTGTGAAAGAATCCCAACAAAGTTGAACTTAATCAAATGACAATGCGTCAGCAGTTTTCCCTAAACGGCAGGTAGTTATGTGTGGCATTACACAGACTAAGCAGCCACGATGTTTTCCACACCTCCTGCTAATCCTCTGAGACAAAGTGAGGAAGTCCTCTAACCAGCGGCTTAATTTGAGATAAAAGCAGCATATTTAAGACAATCCCAGTTGTGGCTGATGCTACATAAATATTTCAGTTATTCTTTTGCTCTCCGATTCCACGTCCCCTCCCTGAACAAACGTTGCATAATACAGTATCTGGTTGTTTGCATGTGTGTGTTTAAGAAAGACTGGGGGAGAGAGAGAAGAGAGTGTTTGCCCATATTTGTTCATTTGTGTGTGTTCTGCAAACAGCCGCCGAAACACAAATGGATGGCTCTCCCACAGAGTGCTGCAGTGGACAGCGCTGTAATTTTGTTTTCTTTCAAGAAGATGCCCCCCACAAAAAACCCAAAACTAAACCGGTGGCTCTGAAGTGCCCTAGTGTCATTTTCAAAACTGATGTGCTGCACTCAGAAGCTGCTGCTGTCTGCTTTACTGCAGCATCGCCAAACATCCTGGACACTTAAAGCTCTGAAAGTTTTCGGATCTATTACACTTTTGCTTAGACCAACGTAAAACAAGATGTTTAACAGCATGTGTTCTCTAAAGTGTCCCAATTTGACTTTATAGCTGCTAATTATTACGTTTAAGTGGGACAATTTTTTCCAATGCTGCGCACTGCGTTTACTTCTATAATAAAGCTGAAGAACAAAACCTAAAAACAGAACTACACAATGATCTCTTCATAGTTAACCGCAAAACAAAAGTTCTCTTGGACAACAAGAGTCTCAGAATTCAAACTAATTCAACAGCAGAACAGGAAGTAGCTTAGAAAAATACTAAACTACATAATGATCAAAAGTAATGATGCCTGTAAGATGCTATATTCACATATTTATCATTATTGTTATGCTGAAGTATGTTGAGAAGCAGAAACG